GTAAAGAAGGCAAAAATTATCTGAACACTCACTGTGCTGCTTATTCAGTTTGATTTTAGAAAGCATCTGTTGAAAAGAAGTGAAGATAATGCTGGATTATATCTGATTTCTCCAGGAACTGATGATTAGTCCCCCGAAATTAACAGCTCTGCAAGCAGAACTACAGCCATTCACAAAGATCAGCTGCCATCTACTGAATGATAAGAAAATTGTTTAGAACATTTTTCTTTTTTGACAAATAGTTTCAACTAGATTCTTGGTGAATGATAATTTTTTTTTCTCCTGGTTCATTGGTAGTAATTTGGGGATCCAGAAATGTTTCAGGGGCAAGACTATTAAAAGTTATTAAATCCAAAGCAAAGAAAGGCCATTCAGCAATCTGTTTTCCATTAAAAGTGTATAAATGAGGTCTTGAATGAGGTTTTCTCTAAACAGGGAATCCTGAACACTTCCAGGATGTTCTACTGAAGATTTCTGGGCTCCACCTTATGCAATTTCACAATCAATATAAACAAGGTTAGACTATAACCACATGAGGTCACAGACTTACCAGACTTACCTCATTTTCCAGCTGCCTATTTCAAGCCATTTTTTGCAATGCTGTAAGTATTCACACAGTTGTGCAATTCATGAGATTAATAACTGGTGAAGCAAGTGACTAATTTAACAAAAAAGATTAACTTATATTCTTTGCAATACTCATGCTTTTCTTACTAAAGCTAGGACAGGTATTAGACATTAAGGCCTATTAAGGGCGGAATCCCCTCTGACACTTTGATCTTGGGACTGTGATTTACAAAAGGTAGAAAGATTAGACAATGTTGCTCTGATATTTATCCAATTGTATTTGTATAAGTCTATTCAAAAAAGCAGCTTGCTCCTTTTAACAGCTGAAAAAAAGTTACTGAACCTCCTCTTCACAAGGAAACTCACCTGCAAGCAATTATCAGGACAATGGAAGATGAATAGAACTTAAATTGTCTTCTTAGGTTGCCTTAAATTCACTTCAGGTGTGAAAATTTTAGAAACATCCTCTCTTAAAAAACAATGGGCCATAATATCTTATGATATTGTCCCTTAATAACATACTTCCATTGGAAGTATGTAAAAATGAAAAAAAAAAAAAAAAGGCAGCAAATGTTTGGCTCCAACTTCACAAATTGATAGTAGCCTTAACTGATTCTGGCTGGTGTCTTGTATCTGAGATCTCAATTTGCTAGGTATGTGGTCTCAACTGAAGACTGTATGTATTAAGTACACATGTAACTGTAATTACAATAAAGCTCTTTACAAAGATAAAGTTACATACACATTAAAATTTCTAATAGTTTGATTTTATCTCTGTTCTACTATGCTGAGATCACCTGAAAGTCATTTATAATAGCAGTGCATGGTTTATTGCACTTTACAGTTTAAGGCTACAGGCCTAAGAGTGATACAATTAACTGAAACACTTATAAACACTGATAAAAGATGCATCAGAGCAGTACATTACTATAGATTTATCCACTGCTGAATGAGTTTCTGTGCTCCCATGACTTGCATCAGTAGCTTCTCAAGCCAGGCGTGAGGCTCCCCCCCTCCTTTCCTCAACCAGCAGCTGCAGCAACCCCAGCCTTAGGTCTGTGTCGGGGTCTGTGCCAGGAGACACGGCAGGGTGGCAGCCCAGCTTGAGGGAACGCGTTCAAGAAGCGCTACCAGAAGCTGAGCAAATGCACCCGAAGAGGGCCAGTGAACCTCGCAAAGAGCGGCTCTGTGGAGAGCAAGAAGAGGCCAATGACCCCCCCGTTTAGCGCCTCCGGAAAGAGGCGGCCGGGCAGCCCCTCCCCGGGAGGATTCACCTCAGCGCCGAGCAGCTCCCGCGGCCCCTG